AAACTAAGATCAAAGTGGATTAAAGATCTAAATATTAAGACAGAAACACTAAACTTGCTGGAAGATAAATTAGGTAGAACTCTTAAAGACACTGGCATAGAAGACTTTATGAACAAAACCTCAGTAGCACAGGAACTAGCACAAAGAATCAACAACTGGGATCTCATCTTATTAAAAAGCTTCTGTATTGCAAGAGAAAGCACCAACAGAGCTAAGACACAACCTACAATGTGGGAAAAAATTTTTAGCAGTTGTAACTCACACAAAGGGCTATTATCTAGAAAATATAAAGAATTGAAAAAAATCAGACCTCCCAAATTCAAAAACCCAATTCAAAAATGGGCATCTGAAATGAACAGACATTTCTCAGACAAAGAAGTAAATCAGCAAATAAATATATGAAAAAATGTTCAACATCACTACTGGTCATTCGAGAGATGCAGATGAAAACAACACTGAGATTCCACCTCATTCCAGGAAGAATGGCTTCTATCAAGAAATCAACCAATAACAAATGCTGGCCGGGTGTTGGGGAGAAAGGAACCCTTCTCCATTGTTGGTGTGAGTGAAGACTGGTGCAACCACTGTGGAAATCAGTACGGAGATACCTCAAAGAACTAGGGCTACAGGTCCCACTTGACCCAGCTATTCCCCTGCTGGGTATCTTCCCAAAAGAATTAAAAGAATCATACCACAGCGATATATGTGTACCCATGTTTATAGGGGCACAGTTTGTAATAGCTAAAGCTTAGAAACAGCCCAAGTGCCCATCAACTGGAAACTAAAAGATGTAGTTTTTTTATAAAATGGAGTACTACTCAGAACGAGAAACTAGACATTTATAGCTAAATGGATGCATATTGAGGCAATACTTTTAAGTGAAATAAATAGGACACACATGTGTAAATACCGAACAGTTTCTCTAGTGTGAGAAACTGAAAGGGTAAATAAGGATTAAAAGGATTAAAATGAATAATTGATAATTTGAAATAGAAAAAGGTCCAAAGGTGTAGGGGTGGTGGGAGGGGAAGAGGAAAGAAGGGAAAGGAAAAATTATGAGAAAAGAAAAAAAATGGAAACAAAATATATGTAATAGAGAAGGGTGGAGGGGGTGAAGGGTGCACAGGTAATGGGGAAAAAAATAAGGACCAAGATTGATCATGTACAGGTACAAGCACCTAATGATAAATGTAAATGTATTGTATACCTAAAATGCACCAATAAAAGAATTAAAAAAAAAAAAAAGATAGACCCTCCAAACTCCCTCAGTATTTTCTTTAAAAATATATACATAGGCCTGGGGATTTAGCTGTGGTTCCACCACCTACCTCTCAAGCCCAAGGTTCCAAGGTCGATGCCCAGTACCCAAAAAAACCCAAAAAACAAAAACCAATACACACACACACACACACACACACACACACACACACACACACGAACACTGTATTATATCTATCTCTAAAACACCCTCAAATCATTCAATTTTATGTCTTCACTGGAAAGGATCTTAAACTATCTTGCCTAGTATGGGAATATTAGAATACTTCAGTCCTTACCACAATCCTAAACTGACTATGTTGGTCAACATATGCTTATCATGCAATTTTTTTCTTTTGGTATTGGGGATCTAACTTGGGACCTTGTGCTTGCAAAGCAAGCAGTGGAACCACTGAGCTAAATCCCCAACCCTTATCACATAACTTTTCAAAACTTTTGGAAGATCTAATTTTATCATCTCTAAAAGCAAAGAGCTGGATTAAATAATCTGGAAGAAACTTTATAATTCTAACTGCCTTAACTCTTGGGACATCTCACCAAACTCATCTAGAAAAGTTAAGAGTGCTTTTTTCCACTGGCATTAGAATTTTTCAAACATTTCTCCTTGCCACATAAGCTTCTGTGGATGAGACAGGATACTGCGGATTATATGTTCCATTAATTTCTATCCCACTGCTTTTTTTAACTCAAAAAAAATCCCTAAAGGACGTCTTACTAAGGAATTTTCACTGATCTATACAGTTACTTTTAGTCATAAATAGATTTCTGTCAAGTGTGAGAATGACAGTAAACATTTTTTCCACATCTTGCTATTACCTGCATTTCAATATACTGAAGATCTTTTTTTTTCTTCTGTAAATCTTCCAATAATTGTTGGTCTAAGGTTACATCTGGTTCATTGTCTTGCAAAAGATATTCAGCATGTCTATCAATATATGATCTGTCCCGGATTTTCAATCTCGTTTTTTCCTGGTTTATCAATTTCTTTTCTTGGTTGTCAAGTTTTTTCTCTGAGGTTGATTTGTTCTCATTGGAAACTTCAGTTCCGTATCTGTATGGACAAAATATTTGCAAAAGTCAAAGGAAGAGCCACTCAAGTCCTGGAACAAAACAATATCCTAAATATTTCAAAATCACCAAAATTGACCGCTTGTGGTTTTTGCTCTATGAAGCAGTTATGAAATTAATATACTGATATTCTTACAATAAATTCAGACTTTTCCTCCTTTTAGAGATATTCCAAGGAAAGTTATCCCTGGTGATAGTTTAAAATATAAAAATCCCTTTTTATTTCCTTTCCTAGTAAACTAAAAAATAAATTCATCCTGATACAGGCAAAAAATAAAAAAATTATTAAAAAAAGATAAAATTCCAAACAATAGTCACTGCTCTACTGAAGTGTTGTTCTTTTTTTGATTTTCTTGGATTTGCTTTATTTCACAAATTCATTTTTTCCCTTAAGCTATAAATGCAATACCACATTGCATACTCACTAAAATACTTCTCGATTTTCCTCTAAATGATAGTTTTCACCATCTTCCTAAACATAAAAGCAATTTAACTTTATGCAGACCTACCCACAGAATATTTTGCAGTACAGTGATGGTGGGTTAAAAAAAAGCACATTTAACTGAATAGATCTCATATTTACAGACTACTCGTTCCAATATTTAGCATTTTTGTGGAAATATGACACCTATACTTTTTTTCTCCAAATCAACTTAATCTACATTAAAAAAAGAATTACTTCAAGTCTAAACATTACTTACTGAAGACCCTGATATTATTTTTATCATAATTTTCTAGCCAATGTCACAAAAGAAGTATTTGCTTATTCTCCCCCACCCCCTGTACCATGGGATTGAACTCAGGACCTTACACTTGCGAGGCAGGCACAGTGCCACTGAGCTAAATCCCCAGCCCATGCTTATTTTTTAAAATATTATCTTTTGTTTTACCCATGATCCTCTGGGGCAAACCAGGATATCTGTGCTTCTGAATCTTTATCATTTTTAGTTTGGACAGAATTCAGCAGGTGTGTAATTTGCTCTTCTCGTCGTTCATCCATGTGTACTACCGCTCTCTATTTTGTACAAAAGAAAAGGCATCTTTATCAACATAGGAAAACATGCGTGACATGCTTTATTAATGGAAGAAAACGTGTTTATTTTATAATTAAAAAGAAAAATAAACGCAATGATGTTCGACAAACGTTTATAAAAAAAAGCTAAAGTTACCACTCTTGCTCTCTCGTCCACCCCACTTTCTAGACCAAATTTATGTTAACATATTTGTGTATATCCTTCTAGACCATTTCATAAGTTTTATCTATAAAGTTATATCTAAGTATAATGGGTAAATGAAGAATATTTGTGTCTATTCCTATAACTCTGGTTCCCCTAACTCCTACCTTCAGGCAGTTATACATGTTTTCCTGACATCTTCAGTTTCTAAAACCCAAATGTTCTGTTAAAAAACAGTTGAAAACTGAAAATAACATTTTGGTTGTAATGAGTATTTCAAAGTTCTTGCACTAAAAAAAAAAAAAAAAAAAAGTAAATTAAGTTAAAAAACAGTTAAGACTGATCTCAGAGGAAATTAATAAAGCTAACCAACGCTCATGGGATATAGTAAATGCAGCAGTTGTTTTAGAAAATGAAACAAAGAAAATGTCCTATTAGACAAAGATAAGGTCCTTGGTGAGTTATGAAAACTTAAATTCTTTATGCATCTAAGAAGTGAAATTATAGGCCAAGGTAAAAAAGAATGAATGTCAAACCCAATTCATTGGAGATCTGTTTTTTAGATATACCAAGTTATACCAAGTTTTAGATATACCAAGTTGGATTCTTAAAAAATTATGACCCTACAAACCTCAGTCTCTTTATAAGCCAGACTTAATATTGTAATGTACACATGAATCCACACGCAATGGGAAATACATGAGGAGTGGTGAAAATTAGAGTCTATTTGTTTAAAGAACTAAAAGAGGAGGAAGGTAAATATAGTAGTGAAAAAATTACATATTTTAAAAATATAGAGAAAAGAAAACCTTAGAACTTTCTGACTATTTAAGTGGAGGTGAGAGAGGCAAAAAGAAAGAATCAAAGACAGCTGCTTCAAATTCAAGGCTGGGTCCTGAAAGAACAGCAGTTAAGATCAATCATTAGGAGGAGGCTGATAATGAATGACAGGGTCATTATTTTGTCAGCTCATTATTTTGTGGCGGTGTTGATGGTCAAAGAGCAATGCTGAGGTTGAATCTGAAGACCAATGAAAATCAATGGTGCATACTTTTTTCTTCTATTATCTTTATCCAGTTTTAGGATTAGCACAATGTTGAGTTCCTAAAATGAGGGGAGAAGTGTTCCTTCTTTTTACTGCTT